CTGCTGCTGCTGCTGCTGCTGTTATCCGTGTCACTGCTGTTGCCATGGCTGCTATCATCTGTGTTATTCCCATGCCGACTGTCGGGCCTTGGGATGTGTATCTCTTAAATAACAAAGTACCTCTAGCACCCGTCGTAACTACCCATGAACCCCTAAGTCGCACAGAAACCCTTTAGAAACCCCAGAAAGAACCCTAAATCAGGAACTCTACAGAAACCTGAGAAAGAACCTAAGCCCAGAAACGAAAGCTGTCACCCGTACGATGGGCTCAAACCCTAAACGATTATAAGGACCCCCAAATAAGGTACCCTAACTTTCTGAAACCCTCTTAAATGGGCTCCCGGGCATCTTCGGCACCTTCGGCTGGGGTGGCTTCCGCTCGTCCACGAGCGCCTGGGGGGGGTTGAGGGTTGAGGGCATAATGGTTAACCATTAGCACACGGCTGTGCGCTGTATGGGGCTGTGGGGTAGAGTCTGGTAAAGTAGCACTGTAACATGGAGCCCTAGTGCGTAGAGCTGTTTTGGGCCTACAGCTTTTCGGCTTCGGTTTCAAAAATTTCAGGGTGTAAGGATAGTATATGGGCGGGGCGATTCGGGATATCTAAGGGCTAGACTCAACTTTAACCTCAGCCGGAACCGTAGATTACAAACCCCAAAATCCTGCCGAAAATGAGTCATGATAACAACAATGACACTAGAACTGTAATCTCCCCCTAAAGCCTTATGTCTAGTTCCTTTGCTACATGTAAATGTAACTTCACTAACACACACCCTCAACAGCCTACCCTAACTTTCAAGGCCAGTGTCATCAGCCACAGGTCCAGACAAGAAGAACACTGAACCGTCAGCACGAAAAATCGCCTACAAGTAGTATATAGTAGCATCATCGTGTAGTAGTATAGTCGTATAGCACTCTGTATCTGTAACGATCCAGGCATGCCTTGTTGAAAAGCCCTGCCAATAGAGCCTGAACCCTTCTGAGCGCCCAACAGGAGCCATGCAGCCCCCAAAAGAAACAAAAAGAAGCAGGCTTAAGCCCAAAGCCCCGCAAAGGCCAAAAGGTTCAGGGCTTTAGGCCTTGCCAAGGCTCCCAAGCCCCTACTTGGAGGATCATGGGACTTAGTAAGTAAGGTTATAAGTCCCCTGATTGGGGTTATAAGTAGAGTTACCCTAATTATAACCCTACTTACTAAGTCCCATGATCCTCTAAGTACCATGGCCCTCCGACAGGGGTTGCGAGGAGAGGCACGAGGGCTGTTGAGGAGGAGCTGCCCGCAGAGTAGGGACCTGGCGAGACACCGGCCAAAAACCCAGGGTTTAGGGTTTAGGGTTTAGGGTTCAGCAAGGGGCAAAGATGCTTCAAGGTGCTGATCAAGATTTCATCTGTCCTTCTTCAGGGGTCCTCTAGGATGTGTTTTGGGTGTTTCATAAGGTTGATTAGTCCGAGTACACGGTTGCAAAGGGTTTTTCAAAAGGGCTGTAATACGGATCTGGACCCTAAACCCTAAACCCTAAACCCTAAGGGGTTCGGGGGTTACCGGCTCGGGGTTCAGAGTTTTGGGGCTTCCCCAGGGGCCTCGCTCCGGCTTCAGGTTCGGGGTTAGAGGGTTGAGGATTGAGGGTTCAGGCTCCCTTCTCAGTTCCCAAAACTAGTACGGCGCCCTTATAAGAAGGACCCTCTAAAGGGTCCTTACTTAGAGAACTACCCGTATGCTAGGTGAGGGGGATCAATCATTAGAATAGGGTATTTGGGCTCATCATAGTATTAACTATAATAAGGAAGCCCCCAAAATAGTATTGGTAGTTATTTGGGCCGCTACCCTTAAAGGAGCCCTAACAGGAGCCCCAAACCCTAAGGGTTGACAGTACAGTTGAAGTTGATGTGGGGTTTAGGGTTTAGGGCTTATTGTTTAGGCCCGCTACATTAGGAGGCTTGAAGCCCTAAACCCTAAACCCTAAACCCTAAACCTAGCTTGGAGCTCGGTGGACCTTTGGGCATTGGGGGTTGAATGGTTCAGGCCTGGGCTGGGTTCAGGACTTTAAGGGGCCTGGGACTTCGTTCAGACATGTCGTGTCGGGCTTGGGGTTTGGGGTTTGGGGTTTAGGGTTTAGGGTTTAGGGTTTAGGGTTTAGGGTTTAGGGTTTAGGGTTTAGGCCTTAATAATTAGAATAAGGTTTTGCACTGCTTATTATAGCAACAGTATAACAAGCAGCCCAAGTAATAGTGTTGGTAATTATTGAGGCTTCGATCAAGAGATGTACCGGACCCGCAGAGAACCCCATATGTGATACAGTGTATATACATGTATATATATATATATACATATATATATATATATATATATATTAAACTGCATGCTATATATTAGATATCATATAGCATATGTATTATATGCTTCTTAAACCCTAGACGCCAGAGCCTCTCTATATATATACATATATATATATATACACACACATATGTACACCTCTTATATCTTTTCTAAGTATGAGCCTGAAGCCCTCATCTCCTGAAGCACTTGGCCTGTTCCTGGCAGCGCTGGCCTGCAGCTGACCGTTTTTTTGGATTCGGAGCTTCGGAGCTTCTTAGGGTGTAGGGCTTAGGGCTTAGGGCTTCGGGTGTAGGGTTTAGGGTTTTGGGCTTAGGGCTTAGGGCTTGGGGTTTAGGGTTTAGGGTTTAGGGTTCAGGGTTTAGGGCTTAGGGTGTAGGGTCTAGGGCTTAGGGCTTAGGGCTTAGGGCTTAGGGCTTAGGGCTTAGGGTTTAGGGTTTAGGGTTCAGGGTTTAGGGTTTGGTGTGTCGGGTCTAGGGCTTAATGTAGGGGCCTGAATAATTAGAATAGGGTTTTGGAGGTTGTACTATACTATAATTATAAGGAACCCCAAAACATAGCATAGGTAATTATTTAGGCCCCTACATTACTGGGACCTAAAGCTATGATTGTAATAAGGAACCCCCAAAACATAGTGTAGGTAAATACAATAAGGCCCTTACATTACGGCGTCTGGGCTTTTAGGGCAAGCCTCTTCGGGTTTCGGGTTAAGGGGGTGAGGAGTTTTACGGCCTGACGTGCGGAGTTTTAGGGCTTGGGCTTTTAGGGTTCGGGCTTCGGGTTTAAGAGTTTAGGGTTTAGGGCCAAATATAGGGTCTAGAGTTTAGGGTTTAGAGCCAAATATAGGGTTTAGAGTTTAGGGTTTCGGGCCAAAACCTAGACTTAGGCCCAAATCAAACCTCCCCCGAAGCACGGTTATCGGTGGCGGTGATGGTGCCGCTACTGCACTCTCTGAACCTTTCCTTCACTCGTTCTGTCTTGGTCGCAGCA